ATTGGTATATGTTTGGTATTATGTTTGATATTATGATTGGTATATGTTTGGTATTATGTTTGATATTATGATTGGTATATGTTTGGTATTAGGCTTGGTATTATGTATGGTATTTGGTATTATGTTTGGTATTGTGTTTGGTATTATGTTTGGTATTATGATGGTATTTGGTTTGGTATCATGATTGGTATTATGTTTGGTATTTGGTTTGGTATTATGTTTGGTAATTGGTTTGGTATTATGTTTGGTATTTGGTTTGGTATTATGATTGGTTTTTGGTGTGGTATTATGATGGTATTATGTTTGGTATTATGATTGGTATTTGGTTTGGTATTATGATGGTATTATGATTGGTATTATGTTTGGTATTATGATGGTATTATTAACTCATTATTGTTACGTCTCCGTTCGTTAATTGATTTTCCGTAACTTCGTTCCGACGAAACTTTAGTGACACAAGTCCTTACTTAATAGAACTGGTTTATTCTTTCTGAATATAACTTTACCGATACACTTATTTTCAACAGTCGCTCTATAACAAACGTTTTAACAACGAACGTTAACTTCAACAATACTTTCTGACTGCAGTTCAATTACTCACTACCTACACACATTGTCACGTCACGTTGTGAGCGTCTTATATATATACCAGACAAACATATATCTAGTAAATGCTAGGGCATTCACGAAGGAACAAGATATTTCTAGAAAATAGGTGGTTTGACACTAGTCACGTGACCTCGCTGACGCAACATTATTATTAAGAATTTCAAATTGATCAATTTCTACAATACACTTTTATTTGATCCAACTTTAAGTATCATAGATAGTTTAAACAGTTTTACTTCTTTCACTTTGAGAAGACTGTTTTTAAATCGTAATTGCTTTGAACCAAAAATTCACTTCTTACTGCATAATTAACAATACTGACCACCCATCAGACAGATGACCAAATTGAAAAAGAGGTGAAAGAATGGTTAAAGTTTGCCTCTGAGGGTCATAGAGGGAGAAAGTTACGGGATGAACAAAAAAATTCAAATTGACCAGTATGACATAACAATGGATTTATATTTAATTCAGGGTTTTCACTAGTACTGGAAGTTATGAAATTTTGAGAAATAACTATTTTTCTATACTAAGTTCATTGTTCTTTCTCATTTAATTATGAAAACAAACAATACAACAAAAAATGTAGTGTTCAACAGTTTTTCCATGCAAAATATGATCATTAAAACTCAGTAGAATTATATAATACTTACATTTATTGTCAAGAAATTAAGTATATATATGCTGATTATAAAAACAAAAAACTTCTATACATTAAATTGTTGTATCTAATTTTCTAAATTTTCCATTATTAAAACAAGTATTATAATTATAGTACTAACTGGTAAAAGAAAAGCTATAATAATAATTTAGTGTATGACAATATTTATGTATGTTTGTTGACTTCAGCTAGTGGTATCTGATTCAGAGCTCTCTGAAGTTTCATTTGGAGATTTGATGATTTTTGAAGAAACACCAGTATATTCAGTGGCTTTTGAATAAGTAGCTGTAGCTTTAGTGTCATTTTGTGAATCAGAGGTTTTTCTGAGTGACCTTCTGTAGGAAAAAAAAACAAAGTTAGAAACGCATGAGGTACTTTTATGTTGGGTACTTTTGAAAGTTTAGAAGAAACACTTAAAACTAAATTAAGAAATTTACAATGGACAAATAAAATTTACTAATGTATAAATTACGTGAAAACAAGCTTCAGTTTATCTCCTTATTGTATTGAATTTCGTATGTCCTTTAAACAAGATGGGAATTACAATAAGATTTTTCCAAAGTTTCCTTAGTTGTTTATTTTGTAATTTTTCATAAAGAGAATAACTTGCATAGCATATTCTTAACAAAAAATAATTATTGTTTTATGATTATGTTTTTAGAAGTGACTATATCTACTATGCTTTTAAAATAAACTATCAGATAAATAGAAAAATCCAGTCTTACCTATATACGAACAAAAAACCTAACACAATACAAAGGACTAAAATTCCAAAAAATGCGATGATAATGGCAAGTTCTGAAATGTCTGTAAAACAATAAACGTTATTATATATCGTAATATCAATTAATTAATATACTGGTGTTTTTCATCGAAATTAAAACAGTAGGAATAGAAAAATAAATAAATACAAATAAAGAAATTAATTGAAAATATTACAATTAAAACATGTTTTGCTGTTTACAAAAGCATAGGCTTCACTTCTTATTCTCTAATAATTTTGACCGGTGTCGCTATAGTCTTTTCAAGGTAGCTTAAATAAGACATTTGACAGGCAATGTTCATCTGATATTGTTACAATTCTACTTTTCACAAAGTGGTATAAAAGTATAATGTACGAGCCACAGATGTTGATGGACCTGGCTCTTAGGGCAAAAACCTTATACTATCTATGTAAAAAAAAAAATTGTGTTGAATTTTTATCAAAATACAGCAAATAATCGATCAGTTTTCTCACTAAACTGAATTACTTCCTAGACCTGAGCCTCGGATTCTTACTGTGACCAGAAATTGTCTTATTATCAACACAATATTACATAACTGAAAGGTGTCCAGAGGTAAGAAATTTGTGTTATACATTCTAAGTTATTTTATCCACATAGATTCTGTATAATATAGAACTTTATATTTTCAGAATGTCCTTTGTTTAAAGCGTAAACTTCTCAACATTATATGTGTGTTTTTTTCATGGTTTCACAGTTGAACACTGAAGCTTTAGATGAAATATTAACTTTAACTTTCCTTATTGGTTAACAGAAAACTACAACTGCTCAATCAGTCCTGTTATGTGAATAACAATGTTATCTTTAACTAGCGAGCTCAGTTACTGTTTTTGGTAAATCAGGTAAAAGTTGTAAGTGGACATGCCCTTGATCTTAACTTCACCTTGGTTAGCTGATCCAACAAGCACAAGCACTGTTTTCTTGTGTCAGGAACTTGGGGATTTATTGATGTATGTAAGAGAATAGGTTTTACATAATTTTAATACAAAGTGTCAGAGATTTGATATTAAATTACATAGTTTTCAGTTCCCCTTAGATGACATTACTTTAGTGGTTGGGTTTCAGTAAGTATGTAGCCTAAACCCTCATTTATTCTTTCAATTTCATTGTATTTTTAACTTATAGAGTCTGTGCAACACATATGTGTATATCTAGTTTGATGGTGATATTGTCCTTGTGCTCACCTTAAGATAGCAGGATTTAAGATATTGTTGTTGCGTTTATTTATATTAATAATTTTAGTTGCGTTTCTTCATGGAAAGTGAGAACAGGTTCAGAATTTAGCATTTGGTTGCACTACTTAAGGTTTCAAGTGTTTTCTTTAAGCTTCATTAGTGAAATCCAAGTAAGTACTTGGACTTTACACAGAATACTTATGTAGGCTAAGGTAACGTGACATTTAACTTAACTTGGAGTGCATTTTCTCTTACTTTCTCTCAATTCAACTCGTAATGAGGACTTACATGCACTGATAAAAGCTCTTTATTTTTCTATTAAAGTCTTCTTCAGCTCTTTCAGTCGCACACCACCATACACACAAGAGATAGTTTGCCCAATAATTTATATATTGCAGTGTTTTGTTTATCTGTATTTTGATATATGAACAATAACATTAAACATTTGTACTGTGTACAAAACTGCATATTGTCTCTTTCTGAAGTTCATGAAGCTGATTATTTAAATTAATATCATCTTATCCACATTATCTTACAACACACTTTCAAGTATTATTCACAATATTTATTTTAAACACAAGTTTATGATGATAAATTCCAGTTTACATTTAATATACGCACCATAACAATCTCCTTCATCTTTTGATCCTTTATAAAACGTTTTCTGTCCTTCTGGACAAGATGTGCAGTTTGGAGAAGCATACTTCTTATTGTAGTTACTTTTTGGACAAAGCTGACATTTATTGTCTGTTTCAAATTGTCCTGGTGGGCAAGGCTCTGGTTGAAGAAATAATAAAA